CAATACGATGCTACGCGCTTTTTTATTCGGAAGACGATACCACTCGAGCACGCAGGATGTAATGGCTACCTTTTCCGCCTATCGTTGGATTTATCATCACGTAGCAATGACCATAAAATTTGTTTGTATCATAATTTCATTTGCTATTTCAAGGATATTGCAACACGTTCCCTGTGTTTCTTTTTCACGATATATTCATGAAGATATTTAATAAAACTTATTTTAGCATGCAGTAACTCTTTCAAGATTTAAGTAAAATTGAATTTGCGGTTTAATTGCAAATAATATGAAAATAAGTTATTGTAATTATGGAACATTATTATTGCTATCTTCATTATTATTACTTGTGTTTTAAAAAATGAACATATTAATATTCATGAGACTTACTTGGCCGGTAAGCTGTTCACCGGTATAACAAAATAGAAATATGTGAATTATCAAATTTATAATGATTATCAAATAAGAGCATAGAGTTCCTATATTCCTAGTTTGCCAATCCTACAAATATAAGTACTTTATGTAATCATAATATTATTAAATTATTACTGATTAACTTTAAAATCTGAAATGATTATTTTTGTCAACAAAATATACATTATTATGAGAATTTGAAATTAAGTAAAAAATTATAAATTGTAAATAATTATCGATTTATTATATTTTCAATTTTTCATTTTAATATCCAAAAATATTTAATTTGTTCCGTTATTAAAATTAATTGGCAAACTTACGAACCATTAACATAAAATACACTAACAAACAGATTGTTGTTGTATTCACCACAATTTCCAGCATATATATTTCCTGTAAGGTATGTTGTACTAACCGTAAAAAACTGAAATGTGTAATTATCAATGATGACTATTAACGCTCCTTAAACTAATAAAAAAATAAGTAAATATCAATAAAATATGAGAGAATTGAAAAATAAGAATTTTTACCAAGCATTGTCAATAAGTATTATTATTAACATATTATAAACGTATGTTTATCAGTATAAGGAAAGTCGGAGGAAGATGCCATAGTTAACTTTGGATCGCGATATTTTTTCAACCATTCTCGATGTATAAAAGAAAATAAAATCAATAAAAAGTTTGATTATTCTTATTTATTGCTGTTCAATTATAAAAATGTAAGTTTTGCAAGTCTTGCAAGAATTTTTCACAATAAAAAAATAAAAACCTTCCTAAGTAGCATCTTACTCAACCTATTGGGTAAGATGTTACGAGATCTGTAGTAAGATTCCCTAACATCTTAACTAAATAAAACATAATATATAATATATAAATATTAAAAATTCTATTAATAGTTATTCTCTACTTTTCTTGAAAGTGAACGATATCTAAGTACATAGTAAATGAAAAATAAAATATATACTATTATATGCTACTCTTTTTAATAGCAGTAATAAAAAATCATTTCTTAAAGTAAACAGCCTTTAGGTAGTAAATAAAAGATAAAAATATGCAACACTTTTCGACTACAATAAAATAGAAAATAATTGTTCCTTACAAACTGTAAACAGTCTTCATCCTCTTGGGTCTTCTTTGAGTCATCTGTTGCATTTTTTGGCAACAATGAGACTTTACTCACTCACATATCTGGATCCTTCTTTATCATAATAATAAAGTTTACCGATTGTATAATAATCGTCATTTTCTGTGTTAGTCGAATTGTAATAAATACACGTATAATACAATTGGAGTGTAAGCTATCGATTAAGTGTACTTATAACTTGAACGGGACATTCGTTATTGACATCCGAAAATCTTGATCCGGCGCAACTCGCCCGCGCCAAGCAACAATGAAACTTTACTCACTCACATATCTAGATCCTTCATAATAATAAAGTTTACCGATTGTATAATAATCGTCATTTTTTGTGTTAGTCGAATTGTAATAAATACACGTATAATACAATTGGAGTGTAAGCTATCGATTAAGTGTACTTATAACTTGAACGGGACATTCGTTATTGACATCCGAAAATCTTGATCCGGCGCAACTCGCCCGCGCCGGCTCGCGTAAGGGAGGCACGGCAATGTCTCGGGTCATGCTTAGCGCCGAGACACTACCGTGTCTTCGGATTTGCTACTTGAAAACTGTTTGAAGATAAAGTTATTCTTTGTTTTTTTTTTGTTTTTAAAGTAATTTACCCCTTGTGGTATCTTACCCAATAAGACTAGAAAACATATTATCAGACTATATCAACCAAACATCCGTTATTGAGATCCGATAATCTTGATCCGGCGCAACTCGCCCGCGCCGGCTCGCATAAGGGAGGCACGGCAATGTCTCGCTTCATGCTTAGCGCCGATACACTACCGTGTCTTCGGATTTGCTACTTAAAAACTGTTTGAAGATAAAGTTATTCTTTGTTTTTTTTGTTTTTAAAGTAATTTGCCCCTTGTGGTATCTTACCCAATAAGATTAGAAAACATATTATCAGACTATATCAACCACGTGCTTTTGTTATATATAATCACTTAATATATAATAAAATTTACTCTTGGTGCTAAATAATGTAATCCACTGCGTATTTGTGAAATAAAATCTACAAAGGATTAACGTGAATTTTAAATATCATGTAAAATATGATTAGAACAGAACTTTATCAACTTACCTTGATAAATTCATAATTTCTTAAAATAAATATAAACAGCGAGTTCTAGTCGTATCGTCCCTGGCTTACAAACGAATAAACTCAGCATATCACTAATACCATCTATGCATAAACATGGAAATTATTAATAAATAGCATCTTGCCTGACAGGGCATGTTCCCCCGACTTACCGTAAATGCTAAACTATGATAATGTTACCAAGTTGCTGCCTTACTTGCGCACTCTTATTTGATGCTCCACTATTTCAGCTATCTTCTTATTCGTTTCATATTCTTCTTGCCATTCCTTCTGTACGAGTCCTGTCATCAAACCGATTAAGATTTTTAATTGACCGCAAGCATGTACTACGAAAATCGCTGTGAGGCCACATGCACATGTCACGATCGAAACTGTAATAAATCCTGTTAGAAATTGGATTATAAAGATCGTCTCGTAAACGGGGCTGACTTGTACGTCGAGGGAAAAGTAGTAACCCGGACAGGCAAAACGTCTTATCGTGACGTTCTGATCGATGACGATCTTTCCCTGGAACAACGGTAAGATTGCTCGGAAAGTAATGACGCCATTATACATGAAAAGTGCGCAGATCGTAACCAGACGTTTTCCCATCCTCGCAGATTTTAGCATAATGTTTCGTGAATCCACGCTGAGAACGTTTTCCCAATCCTCCTCGACGTGTTTCAAACATCGCCTGAGTTGATCATAGCGAGATATGAAGATGCTATATTGACTGGCGGACATGAAGTCATAAAGGAGAACAGGGATCATCTGCAGTCGAACACGTGTTGTTGCCTTCATCAACCAGTAAAGGATACCGGGTATAAGGTCACTAAAGAGGAGAGTATAGGACATACAGATTAGCAAGAGATTGTGAACCTTCGAGTGTATGGATTCTCCTTTATTGATGGAAGGCCAAGCGCCAAGTGCGAGCAAAATGTTACGAGTTGGTTGCGTAATGTCGTTCATAATATCGTTCTGATAATGCTTATTTTGCGACATTTCTCTGTGAACTTTAACTAATCTTCGATACTTCCGAGTTTTATCCGTCCACGTAACGTGCACTTAATGCGAAACCTAAGCACGAACTGAATTGCTACCGATTGTTGAAGGACAAGGCTGACCGCGAAGTCAACTTGTCGCTCGCGCATATGCTTGCGCATTTTAAAGATTTAAATGTCGCATGAGAAGAAAGAAAAGCAGAAAGGCTTGTAAATGGAATCATTCGCATCAAGGGTCGAAATTGTCTTCCATGAAATGTATATTTATGCTTCAACTTTCCCTCACGAGTTATCAGGAAAGTTATGATGTGTAACTTCGTTTTTTCCTGTTTGGTAAACTCGGTATTGTCTCTGTCATAATATCGTATTTGCCATAAAAATTATGTTCACATTACATATATCTTATAATAGAATAATAAGACGTTCAAGTATGTACGAGATATATTTACATCACATTAATCTACATTTGATACATATGTACCACTGTTTTTAGAAATATTATTGTATATACTAAAAACAATTTTCTGAATATTAATAAATGTTTTTTGTTTCAATAGTACTAACAAAATATTTACTTTCAGTAAATAAATATTTACTCAAAATAAAAAATTATGCCTAAATCAAATGAATATATATTTACATTAAGTAAAAATTTCGTTAGTATTATTGAAACAAATATTTATTAAACTTTAGTATTTTTTTTCAGTATATATGTACAATATATGTAGCGTTAAAATTTTGATAATTGAAACTTAAATATTTAATTAAAGTATTGAATTGTAGTTTGACACATCCGTTACCATTATATAAAATATTTTTTTTATTACTTAATTCTTGTTATGAGTCACTACTGATGGCGAAAAATAATAATTGATCGTGAAATAAACTGACAGTCAAAACATGAGTTTGCACGCAATAAGAATTTAATCATTGCATGGAGAACAGAGACTAGCATAAGTATAGCGATAGAGTTTGCAAGGAAAGTTGCTTGTCGAGAGGGACGATTGTATTCTAAAGAAAGTATTCGTATTTGTTCTTCAAACTTTATATCAACTAGGAAAACGTTTATATTTATCTTCATGTCTTCGCAACATGGAATTGCAACATAATGCCTATTAGGAAGAAATAGTTTTGTTTGATATGTGTTAAATGTTCTGGTTCATATGTATGAGTTAAAATATTAATTATTATTTTTTAATCTCGTCAAAATAGTAACATTTATCCTCTTATTACAAATAAAGTATGTGTTAATAAACATTTAATGAGATATGAATTATTCAATAAAACAAAATTTCATATTGAAAAATCTACCAATTTGCAATTTTCGCATTACGGTAATTACTGAATACTCTGTATATAATTAAATGACATATTTGTATTACCTTTACATTTCAATACATATGATTTCGTATTCGAATCACATATGCAATTGATTCATATAATATAATGGTATGAAATAACTAACGTTACAATTTCAACTATTAAAATTTAATGATTCAATCGATTACATTTCGGAGCATATTAAAAAACGTTCCCGCTGTTTTCATGACCTAAAACATTTTCAACTATTTTCTTCTCTAATTTATTTTCAATTAACCGTATTTACCGCCGTTGCAAGTAACAAGCATACATTTAGTAAAATTAAAATATGTAAATGACATGATACTCATTATATAAAAAAGAATTCTAAATTATCTCATTGCAATTTATAGATAAAACACATTAATGTCGTTTAACGCTACTATAATTAAAACATAAACAGCATACTTTATAAAAAGCTACAATGTGTTTATACAATCTTTTGTAGAAACAAGTAATTTACTTACATCACCAAATGTTTTGAGCGAGAGATCGATGAACTTTCCAGAGATCTTGGTTGGCGCGTTAGACATAATAATCAGCAATACAACACTACGCGCTTTTTTGTCCGGAAGACGATACCATTCGAGCCCGCAGGATGCAATGGCTACCTTTTCCGCCTATCATTGGATTTATCATCACGTAGCAATGGCCATAAAATGTGTTTGTATCATAATTTCATTTGCTATTTCAAGGATATTGCAACACGTTCCTTGTTTCCTTTTCACGATATATTCATAAAAATATTTAGAAAACTTATTTTAGCACGCAGTAGAAACTCTTTCAAAATTTGATTAAAATAGAATGTGCAATTTTGATTGCACATAATTTGATAATAAGTTATTTTAATCATGGAACATTGTTATTGCTAATTTTATTATTATTGCTTGTGTTCTAAAAATTGGACTACATTAATATCTATAAATCTTACCTGGCCTGTAAGTTGTTCACCAGTGTAGCAAAATAGAAACATGTGAGTTGTCACATTTACAATACATATACAATAAGTACATAAAGTTGGTATATTCCTATTTTGCCAGTCCTATAAATGCATAAGTGTTTCGTATCATTATATTATTATTAAGTAATTTATTATTATGACTAACTAAAATCTGAAGTAACTATTTGTTAACGAAATATATTATTACGAAAATTCCAGTTCAAATAAGAATTTTTAATCATAAGAAGTTATTGAATTTTCGAATCTTTTTCTATTTTATTTTATGTTAAAATATTTAATTTATTTCGTTATTAACAATAATTGGCCAACTTACGAACCACTAACATAAAATACACTAAAAGGCAAATAGTTATTGTGTTCACCAGATATTCCACCACATATATTTCCTGTAAGGTATGCTGCACTAACCGTAAAAAACTGAAATACAATTACCGAGGGTGACAATTGAAACATAGACTAATAAATAATAATATGTAAATATGTAAATATGTATAATATATAAATTTTCGTAATAAAATGAGAAAATAGAAGGTTAGTAATTTTCATCGGTAATAAATATCAATATTAATAAGCACACGTTAATTGGAGCGAGTACTAAAATTAAAAGCATAAATAACATTCGCAAATTGCGGACTTACTTGCGCACTCTTGTTTGATGCTCGACTATCTCAGCTAGCTTCATATCCATTTCACGCTCCTCTTGCCATTGTTTCTGCACGAGTTCTCTCATTAAACCGATTAAGATTTTCAATTGGCCGCAAGCATGTACCACAAAAATTGCGGTAAGACCGCATGCACATGTCACGATCGAAACTGCAATAAATCCTGTTAGACACTGGATTACAAAGACCGTCTCGTAAACAGGGCTGACTTGCACGTCGAGGGAAAAGAAATAACCCGGACAGGCAAATTGTCTTATGGTGACATTCTGATCGATGAACTTTCCCTGGAATAACGGCAGAATTGTTCGAAAAGTAAAGGCGCCGCTGTACATGAAGATTGCACAGATTGTAACCAGGCGTTTGCCCGTTCTCGCAGATTTCAGCATAATGTTCCGTGCTTCTGCGCTTAGAACGTTTTTCCAATCCTCCTCGACATGTTTCAGGCATCGTCTGAGCTTGTCATAGCGAAATATGAAAATACCGTATTGACTGGCAGACATGAAGTCATAGAGAAGAAGAGGGATCGTTTGCAGTCGAATGCGCGCTGTTTCTGCCATCAACCAATAAAGGACACCAGGTATAAGATCACTAGAGAGAAAAGTGTAGGATATACAGATTAGTAAAAGATTGTGGGCTTTTGAATATACTGATCTTCCTTTACTGATGGAAGGCCAAGCACCGAGCGCGAGCAAAATGTTGCGAGTTGGTTGCGTAATGTACAAAATATCGTTCTGGTGATGCTTATTTTGCGGCATTTCTGAATTTTGACAAATATTTTGCGATACTCTCGAGCTTTATCCGTTTACTTAATGCAAAACCTGAATGCGAACTGAATGCGAACTGAATCGTCACCAGTCGTCGAAGGTGAAGCCAACTCGCGCATATGCTTGCGCATTTAAAAAATTCAAATCTGCATGAGAAGAGAGAACAGAAGCAGAAACAGTTTATAGGTAGAGTGGTTCGCTGGGGACAGGATTATTTTCCATGAAATGTATTCTTATCCGCTTATATGCATTGACTTTTATAGGAAAAGCATTACATTTAACTTTCTTTCTTTGTGAAATCTAACTTACAATCATAATGTTGACCGTGAAGCTAACAGTTTTGATTTCTACGAGAATTTTTCTATTAGTTTAACCTTTGTAGATATGTATGTAGTTAATCAATACAGAAAGTTCACTTTTATATGAGATTAGTTCGTTAAGTAATTTAAATCATACGTTTCAAATTATATCAATTTTTTTTTATACATTTTAGAGAGCATCTTATTTTGTTTCAGAAGATACGTTATTAGATGTTTTATAAATGAATATATCATATTATCGTGAAAAACTTATCATTTTGTACAGCACATCACCGTGGAACTCACATTATTATCTAATTATACCTACTGCACTTTCTATTGTGAATGATTAACAAGTTGCATTTTTGTTTCGATAATCATTATGTTTGTTTAATCGACAATTGTTCAAAATATATTTCGCGATATTTCCATCTTGCCATTCCTGCGTGTTTAACATACACTCAGCAATTAGATTCCCGTGACAAATTATCGGTCAATGAATGTGGTACGTATACATATTGCAGTAATACAATAGATTGGAAAATTTTATTTATCATGATTTGAACGTTCTGCCTATCATCAAGCTAAAGTATTCCACATCCTTGTATTTCCTAATATTTCAAACAAACTACTTTTTTACGTCGTGTCTTCCACCAGATGTAGAAAACTGAAAGTAATGAAATACAAATAAAGCATAAAATTAATAAAAATGGTAAGGGGAGCGAACTCACTTTCGAATCCATATCTAACGTTCGACTACTACTGCTAACTTCTCGTCCGCTCGATTTTTCTCTTTGTAAACTCGCTCGTCGACAAGCTCTTCCATTAATATCATTAAAATCTTCATCTGTGCACACACGTGCATGACGAAAAGCATAGCAAATCCGTACGTCACGATCGTGATGGTATACAAGACAAATCCGCCGAAGAACTGTAACAAGAACAGGATCTCGTAAGCGGGACTGCGCTTTTCGCCGAACAGAACAAAATAACCTGCATATACCAGAGGCCTGATCGTAACATTATTGTGGGTAACGATTTTTCCCTGTGATAACAGCACGATTGTGTGATAGGAGAAACCGGCGGAGTATAGGAAGGCACAGCAAATAGTGAATATGCTCCTGCCGGTTTTCGTCTTCTCCATCATGATGTCTCTCGCGTTTGATACCGCGAAGAACTTCGCAAGCAACCAAAGCACCATACTTGGCAAGCGCGGTAAACGAGTAGACCGTAGGAGCGATCATCTTCAATTTAATACGCGGTTCTTCCTCGGTAACAAATAAAATATATTATAGTATACTGGGAATACTGTCGAAGCACATAAGGATACAGTAAACGATTATCAGAAGAATCTTACAGATTATTTCAACGACGATCAAATCTCTTCAAGCAAAGGCCAAATGCCGAATATTCGTAGAAGAAAATGACTTTGTTTGGTGATGTATTCTATGTCCCGCTAGTAATTTATTTGGATACTTTTCTAAAAAAAAGTGCATAATGGAATTATAAAAGATCTAATGTCCCCGATAATAAATAAAAAGTTACTGGTAATATTTTGCTGCGCCCCAATGCTTATAAGTTGCAAACTCGATCGCTATTGATCGTTACAAAGTTGAAATCGACTTGTATGCATGCGAAAACCTTATACGCGCACGTACTTTTTTTGAATCAGTATTTCACATCATGACAATGGTAAGAAAAAACTTTGATATGATGACTAATGCAGCCTTCCTATTTGGAACTTGAACTTGAATGCAAGGGTTAATTTTTTAAAAGATAAGGAATTATATGGTAGAGTTAAGGTTTAAACAAACACTGCATATTGATTGTATTTCTTAGAAAATTTTATCTTCTATGTAGCAAAAAGTCAGCATTAAAATAATCATTCGTAAGTAATATTGCAAATAATAAAATTGTATTAATTTTTTTCTTTCATCCATGCTTATCAATAATAATAGTACAAGTTTTAATAACGCTAATATATTAATCTATGGAGCAACTTCGGTTTTGTAGTTTAATATATTTATCATAGTACTTACGATATGACATTATTAAAAAGTATGCATACCTCACGTTCTGAATCCTGAAGATTAGATATTGGGACATATTAATTATACTAAAAAATAAAGCAATCTGTGCATTAGAATAAATAATCATAAAGTACCTGAAATAATTTTCTTCCGGTAATTATTAAAATGATCCCTTCGTGTTTTGACATATAATATCACAGACATCTAATAGATGTTTCTTGCTACATTTTTTAATGAATTTCGTAATAGGATTTTATTTAAATATTTTATGTTATTTTATATGCATATTCATAAAAAATTGAATGAAAAAAAAATTTTACATAAAAAATTATACAATAAAGTCTGAATATAATTATGAACATTTCTAAACGTTTTCAATATGTTTTATTTGGAACAATAATATTTGAAAAAGAAATTTAATATTTAATTATATTATTATTTTCACTTTATAGTTACAAATATTTATTGCTACCTTCTTTACTGCTATCGATACATTTACGATTAATTCTTAAAATTCAATCAACTGATCGAAGAAGATTTAAATATGTCACGGACATCTTAACAACCTAAAATAAATGCATATCTGTATTAATTATTCCTTCCCGTTATTCTTTCCCGTAGAAATCATTTTTATGATATTAACTTTATTATTAAATAAATTTAGATGAACAGTTGTGTCACTTACATTGCCAAACGTTCTAAGGGTGAGATCAATGAAATTTCCTGCTTTGAGTCTTAATGGTTTTTCGGAAATAGATATAAGTAAAATCAATGCTCGTGCTTTTACATCCGGAAGACGGTACCATTCCAAAGTGCATGCTGTTAATGCTATTTTTTCTCCCTAATTTTTATTAATTAATTATAAACGTCAGTGGTGTGAATGAAAAAAGAATACCATACTACTAATGTCCCTCTTTGTGTTATTGGTGATATATTTCACGATTACTGTCACCAATAACGACAAATGTTTCGGTAACACATACCTGCTCGATGATTTGCTCGCCCATATAGCAATAAATAAATATGTTGAAACAGAACATTGTTAATCCACTGAAATATATGCTTAAACGAAAAACATTATGATCTTCCCATTCCTGTAAATTGAACACTTATTAATTTTTTATTGAACGTGAAACTATAACGTAATGTATCTTGTCACGTTTATGTAAACATATTTTTTCCTTAAAATTTATTGTTACGTAAATAATTTTGCGTACCATGATAATATAAAATCCTACACAGCATAACATCACGGTAGATCCCAGGATTTCTATTAAACTTGGATACTGCGTGATGCTCTGCAGCAATCGTAAGAAGCTAAAACGTATTGTGAGAAAATTATGAAAACTGGTTCAAACAAAAATTATTAATTGCTAATTCTATACATCTTTAATAATTGATGACACGTTACCCATTTGCGTAGAACGTATTATCGCGTATTAAGCTGTGATATAGTTTCTAATGTGTGAATATGTTAGAATTATATTAAAAAATCAGCGATTGATATGATTATTATATGCAAGGAAAGACTCACTTCCTTATTCTAATTTGATGCTCCACAATATTGGCTAATTTCTTGTCCAAATATTTCGGTTGACTCTCGTTCACGAAATCGTTCATTAACGTCACAAGTATGTCCGACTGTGCGCAAAAATGCATCCCGCAAAGTGTCACGAAACCAAAGGTTGTCACCAAAATCGTATACTTTACAAATCCCGCTACAAATTGTATGAAATATACGATTTCATAAACTGGACTATGCTGCACATCAAGTATAACGAGATATGCCGCACACGGCAGTGGTCTGATAGTGATATTTTGAGGAGTAACAATTTTCCCTATTGACAAAGGAATGATCGTTCGGACACCCATGCCGGTCAGGTACACGAATATGGTGCAAATCATAATTAGACGTTTGCTAGTTCTGACTCTGTTAATCATAGAGATGCGATCATTTGGATTGATGACCTTTCGCCAGTCCTCATCAACCAGTACTAAACAATTTCGCACTTCATTCTTGTAAAGCACGGTATAACCATATTTAATGATTTCTATTATCGTGAATATTCCGCTAGCCATGATTTTGAACCTCAAACGAACGTCTGTCAGCACCATAAATACATAGAGTATAATCGGGATTAATTCGCAGAAGAGAAACGCGAAACACATGAAGATCAGCACGACCGTCTCCAATAACTCCGGAAGAAGGGAATTCGTGCGTGGAAATGGCCATATGCCTAATAAACGAAAGAAAAAGCGATTCATCATGAAAGCATTCTCTATGTCGTGTTCGTAATACTTGTTGGCAAACATTTTGAGAGACTGATTCTACAATTTCTTATATCGAGTCTTTCCACTTCATAGTATTATATCGTATAGCATGAAAACGCTTTTGTAATCTACGATACAGAGACGAAACGTGTCTGTTTGCCACTGATCGCAGTGACAACCAGTGTTTTTCGCAGAGTACAAACATAACTCATAATTCATGTGCGCTTGCGTGTTAAAGCAACTGAAAAGCCACGTCAAGTGAATGGTTAACATATGTATAGAAACTTTTAAAAGAGTTGCGTGCAGATCTCTTTACGCTTTTCCTTCATTCTAAGGAATATAAAGTTTTCTCCGGGAAGCTATGAAAGGGTTAACGTTTCTAAGAAAATTTATTGATAATAGTTGTGTAAGCAAAACGTAGTAGTTGACTTAATTGAGAATACGTGAAAAAGTATCTGTACTTATCATGCGACTATATTCTAGATAACATTTCTGTTTTTATATTATTATATTATAATCATTTCTTTTATTAAAGTGTGTAATGTATTCAGATGGTAATCGTTATAGTGTTCCATATAAATATTACTTGTTCGCATGTCATACTGATGTTTGGGAGATTTTAATGCTGCATAAGATGGAATTTCAAGTGCGGTAATGGTTTCAAAAAATAAATTAATATAAATAAAATTTCTTACGCACACTTTTGTATATGTACATTATACTAAGCTCTTGTATTTGACACATACATATATATTAGCAAAGGATCACATCTATATTAATATACACGCATCTATATTAGAAAAGGAAAAAATACACAACTTGATATTACCATTATGATGCGTTTGTAAACGTAGTTCCAACAAGAAGAAAGAGATTCAGAGCAAAAATCGTATATGTCAGCATAGAGTATCGTTTGTAAGTACAATTGTAAATAATAAAATAACATTACTTTCTCTCGCTCACACTTATTAATGATAATAGTTCAAATTTTTTTAAATAATACTATACGGAAAGAGCAATTTTGCGCTGAATCTAAAAATTTAGCTAAATATGAATCTGAAAATAATTTTGTTGAATCATCAAAATAATTTTGTAGGAATTTCAAGCATGATAAGCAATGCTGAAACAAGTTTTGACACACTTTAGCAGTTTAAACATCCTACATAATAATTTTAATGATTCAACAAAATTATTTTCAGATCTGTTTCTAACTAAATTTTTAGATTCTTCAGCAAAATCGTTCTTTCCGTATAATATATTAATTTATTTACGGAGCGACTTTGAAATTTAATATATTTATTACTGTACAAGCAATCTGAAAGAGACATTATTGAATATATGCGTATCTTATGTCCTGACCTGGGACATTCAAAAACTCTGGAATTTTAATTAGATTAAACAATTAATTTATGCGTTAGAATAAATAACAATAAATTACATGGAAAGTACAAACAATTTCCCTCTAGTTGCCTTGAATATAACGTTAGATATTCAATAGATACTTCTTGCATACATTTTTAACGACTCTCGTAATATATTTTTACTTAGATTATATGACATTTTTATATTATATGATAAGCACATTTATCAGAAATTGAATGAAGAATAATTCTAGTAACAAGTAAAGAATTATGCAATGATTCTAAACTAATTATGAATATTCGTAAATGCTTTTAGTACGTTTCATTTGGTACAAATATATTTAAAAAAGAAAAGCACTTTGCTTAAGTATAATACAACTTTCATTTTTTATGGTTACAAATTTTTATTGCTACTGTTTTACTATTTTTAGTTATCAAAGTCTGTTAGCCATATATGTATTTTAGATTAATTCTTAAAATTCAATCAACTGATCGAAGGAAATTTAAATATGTCACAGACATTTTAGCCACCTAAAATAAATGCATGTCTTTATTAACCGCTATCCCCGAAATAATTTTTACGATAATAACTTCATTATTATATTAATTTAGAAAAATAGCAGTAGCACTTACATTGCCAAACGTTCTGAGGGAAATGTCAATAAAACTTCCTGCTTTAAGAGTTAATGGGTTTTCGGAAATAATTATAAGTAAAATCAATGCTCGTGCTTTTGTGTCTGGAAGACGGTACCATTCCAAAGTGCGTGTTGTTAATGCTACCTTTTCTCCCTAGTTTTTATCAATTAATTACAAACGTCAATGATGCAAACAAAAAAAAACATTTCACTATTATTCCACTTTGATATACTTATTTGCTATATTCGTTTGCTATATTTGCTACATCGTACTGTTATTGGTAATGAAAAATTATTCGACAACACATACCTGCTCGATGATTTGCTCGCCCATGTAGCAGTAGATAAATATGTTGAAACAGAACATTATTAGTACACTGATATATGCGCACAGACGAATAACATTGTGATCTTCCCATTCCTGCAAATTGAACTTTCATTAATTTTTTATACAACACGAAAGTATTATACATACTATACTTTATCATGTCTATCTAACTAATATTTCTTTTAAAATTCATTGTTACGTAAATATTTCTTTGCGCACCATGATAATGTAATATCCTGCGAAGCATAATAGGACCGTAGATCCCAAGATTTCTATTAAACTTGGATACTGAGTGGTATTCTGCACCAATTGTAAGAAACTAAAATATGTTATGAGTAAAATATGAAAATTGTTTTTAACAAAAACTACTAGTTGTTAAGTCCATATATCTTTGATGACACATTACTCATTTTGTGCATAGAATGTATCGCGTATTACGCTCTGATATTTCTGTCTAATGTGCATACGTTTAGACTTACATTAAAGAATCAGCGAACGAATCTCATTATTGTACGCAAGGAAACACTCACTTCCTTATTCTGATTTGATGCTCTACTACAGTTGCCAACCTCGTGTTTATATTTTTTGGTTGATTCTCATTCACGAAATTATTCATTAATGTCACAAGTATATCTGACTGCGCGCAAAAATGCATCGCGCAAAGTGTCATGAAACCAAAAGTTGTCACCGTAATCGTGTACTTTATAAGTCCTGCTAGAAATTGTATGAAATATACGATTTCGTAAACTGGACTACGCTGCACGTCAAATATAACGAGATAGGCAACGTGGGGCAGCGGTCTAATAGTGATATTTTGAGAAGTAACGATCTTCCCCACTGACAACGGAATGATCATTCGGACAGCCATTCCAGTCACATACACGATTATTGCGCATATTACAATCAGACGTTTGCTAGTTCTAACTCTGTCGATCATCGAGGTGCGATAACTCGGATTGATGACGTTTCGCCAATCCTCATCAACCAATGTTAGACAGTTTCTCACTTGACTCTTGTAAAGTACAGCATAGCTGTACTTGATAATTTCTATTATTGTAAATATCCCGCTGGCCATGACCTTTAGTCTCAATCGAAAATCTGTCAGCACCATAAATACATAAAGTATAGTCGGGATTAATTCGCCGAAGAGGAACGCAAAACAGGCGACGATCAGTGTGATCGTTTCCGCCAGCTCGAAAAGAAGGGAATTATTGCGCGAAAATGGCCATATGCCTAATAAACGAAAGAAAAAACGATTTATTGCGAAAGCATTTTCTATGTCGCGTTCGTAATACTTATTGGCAAACATCTTGAGACTGATTAATTTTACAATTTCTTATACGGAGTCTTTCCACTTTATAATATGATAGCTTGTAGCATATGAACACTTTTGTAAAGTACGATACAGACACAAAACGTGTCTGTTCGCCACTGATCGCAGTGATGAACAGTATTCTTCGCTGAGCAGAACATAACTCATATTTCATGTGCGCCTGCGTCTGAAGAGAACTGAAAAGCCACGTCAAGCGGATGGTCAACAAATATATAGAAAGTTTCAAAGGGGTTGCGTGCAAGTTTATTTAAAATTTTCCTTCAATGTAAGGAACAAAAAGTTTTCTACGAGGAGTTATGAAAGGGTGAATTTTTCGTAATGAAAACTTACTGATAATAATAGTGAGTAATCAAAACATAGGTTTTATCTTGATAGAATATAATAAAAAGTAACCGGTTTTATCCCCTAATATATTCCAAACAGTATTTTTTGTTCCTTATATTATTATAATCATTTCTTTTTTTAAATAAAATGTGTACGGCATTGAAATACTAAACGTTACAATCTCCATATATAATAAAATATTATTTGCTCGCATGTCATTCTGATGTCACTAAGTTTTTGACAGTGCGTAAAATGAATTCTCGAGTGTGGTAATAGTTTCAAAAAATAAATAATGTTGCTATACAGCTTATGTTTATTATACATATACTATAATACTGTTTGGTATCTTAAAAGAAAACAAATTTTTCAATCAAAAATTTATTGAGATTAAAATATCTAAAGCTGATTCTATTATACATTAGTTGCAAAACGGAGCAGTTTGCCGAAGGAGCAATTTGGACTTTGTTCTTTAACATATATACCTATTATTGTATGTACTACATGCGATAAGACATTATTGAAAAGTATGTAAATCTCATGTTCCGATTTTGATTTGGGACATACAATGATTGGACATTTTAATTCGATTAAAAAATTAAGCAATTTTATACATTAAAATAAATAACCATAAAGTAAAAAGCACAAACAATTTTTCTGTGATTATCAAGATCAGCCTTTCCTATCTTAATATCTCTCAGATATTTAATAGGTATTTATTGCTTGTATTTTTTTATAAATATCACAATATTTTTTTCTAGACATGTTTTTATGTTATAAGATTTTTAATTGACAGCAAGCATGTACTATGAAAGTCGCTGTGAGGCCACATGCACATGTCACGATCGAAACTGTAATAAATCCTGTTAGAGAGAGAGAGAGAGAAAAAAATTAGATTATATGTCGAGGGAAAAGTAATAACTCAGACAGGCAAAATGTCTTATCATGATGTTCTAATCGATGACAATCTTTTCCTGGGACAACGGTAAAATTGTTTGGAAGGTAATAACGCCACTGTACATGAAAAGTGTGCAGATCGTAACCAGATGTTTCTCCGTCCTCGCAGATGTTAGCATAATGTTTCGTACGTCCACGCTGAGAACATTCTCCAAATCCTCCTCGTGCTTCGAACATCGCCTGACTTGATCATAGCGATCTGATATGAAGATGCTATATTGACTGGCAGACATGAAGTCATAAAGAAGAAGAGGGATTAACATAATGTGTTATATTACAGTTACCCTGTTTTGCTGACATTTATGTTACATGTACGTTACATGTAACATTATGTTAACTGGGTTGATACATACATCCGTTTTCATAATCTAAAATATTTACTTTATTACTTAATTCGTGTTATGAGTCACAAATTATGGTGGAAAATAAGAATTGATCGCGAAGTAAACTCACAGTCAGAACATGAGTTTGTACGCAATAAGAATTTAATCATAATTGCATGGAGAACAGAGACTAGCATAAGTACAGTGATAGAGTTTGCAAGGAAAATTGCTTATCGAGAGGGACGATTGTATTTCAAAGAAAATATTCGTATTCGTTCGTCAAACTTTATATCAACTAGGAAAACGTTCATGTTTATCTTCATGTCTTCGCAACATGCAATTGCAACATAATGCTTATTAGGAAGAAATAGTTTTGTTTGACATGTGTTAAATGTTCTGATTTAAATGATTTAGTATTCGAATCGCATATGCAATTTCATATAATATAATGGTATGAAATAACTTTACAATAACCTTACAATCTCAACTAATAAAGTTTAATGATTCAATCGATTACATTTCGAAGCATATTAAAAACAGTCCCCGCAGTTTTCATGACCTAAAACATTTTCAACTGTTTTCTCCTCTGATTTCTTTTCAATTAACCATAATTACTGTCATTGAAAGTAACAAGCATATATTTAGTAAAATTGACATATGTAAATGACATGATACTTATTTTATAAAAAAGGATTTTAAATTATCTTATAGCAATTTGTAGATATAAAACACTAATATTGATGTCGTTTAACGCTACTGAAGACACGTAATTAAGACACAAACATACTTTAAAAAAAGTTACAACGTGCTTAGACAATCTTTTGTAGAAACAAGTATAACTTACTTACATCACCAAATGTTTTGAGCGAGAGATCGATGAACTTTCCAGAGATCTTGGTTGGCGCGTTAGACATAATAATCAGCAATACAACGCTACGTGCTTTTTTGTCCGGAAGACGATACCATTCGAGCCCGCAGGATGCAATGGCTACCTTTTCCGCCTATCGTTGGATTTATCATCACATAGCAATGGCCATAAAATGTGTTTGTATCATAATTTCATTTGCTATTACAAGGATATTGCAATTCGGTCCCTGTTTCTTTTTCATGATATATTTATAAAAATATTTAAAAACATATTTTAGCACGCAGTAGTAACTCTTTCAAAATTTGATTAAAATAGAATGTGCAATTTGGATTGCACATAATTTGATAATAAGTTATTCTAATCATGGAATATTGTTATTACTAATTTTATTATTATTGTCTGTGTTCTAAAAATCGGAATATATTAATATCTACAAATTTTACCTGATCTGTAAGTTGTTCACCATTGTAACAAAATAGAAACATATGAGTTGTCATATTTACAATACATATCCAGTAAGTACATAAAGTTGGTATATTCCTATTTTGCCAGTCCTATAAATAAGTGTTTCATATGATTATATTATTATTAAGTAATTTATTATTATGACTAACTATGAAATCTGATGTAACTATTTTTTAACGAAATATATTATTACGAATATTCGAGTCCAAATAAAATTTTTTAATCATAAGAAATTATTGAATTTTTATTTCTTTTTCTATTTTATTTTATGTTAAAATATTTAATTTATTTCGTTATTAACAATAATTGACCAACTTACTAACCACTAACATAAAATACACTAAAAGGCAAATAGTTATTGTGTTCACCAGATATTCCACCACATATATTTCCTGTAAGGTATGCTGCACTAACCGTAAAAAACTGAAATACAATTACCAAAGGTGATAATTGAAACTTAGACTAATAAATAATAAAATGATAAATTTTCGTAATAAAATGAGAAAATAGAAGGTTAGTAATTTTCATCGGTAATAAATATCAATATTAATAAGTACACGTTAATTGGAGCGAGTACTAAAATTAAAATCATGAATAACATTCGCAAATTGCGGACTTACTTGCGCACTCTTGTTTGATGCTCGACTATCTCAGCTAGCATCATATCCATTTCACGCTCCTCTTGCCATTGTTTCTGCACGAAATCTCTCATTAAGCCGATTAAGATTTTCAATTGGCCGCAAGCATGTACCACAAAAATTGCGGTGAGACCGCATGCACATATCACGATCGAAGCTGCAATAAATCCTGTTAGACACTGAATTACAAAGACCGTCTCGTAAACAGGGCTGACTTGCACGTCGAGGGAAAAGAAGTAACCCGGACATGCAAATTGTCTTATGGTGACATTCTGATCGATGAACTTTCCCTGGAATAACGGCAGAATTGAAATGGTGCTGCTGTACATGAAGATCGCACAGATCGTAACCAGACGTTTGCCCGTCCTCGCAGATTTCAGCATAATGTTCCGTGCTTCTGCGCTGAGAACGTTTTTCCAATCTTCCTCGACATGTTTCAAGCATCGCCTGAGCTTATCATAGCGAAATATGAAAATACCATATTGACTGACAGGCATGAAGTCATAGAGGAGAAGAGGGATCATATGTAGTCGAATTCGCGCCGTTTCTGCCATCAACCAATAAAGGACACCAGGTATAATGTCGCTAGAGAGGAAAATGTAGGATATACAGATTAATAAAAGATTGTGTGCTTTTAAATATACGGATCTTCCTTTACTGATGGAAGGCCAAGCACCGAGCGCGAGCAAAATGTTGCGAGTTGGTTGCGTAATATACAAAATATCGTTCTGGTGATATTTATTTTGTGGCATTTCTGTATGAATTTAGACAAATATTTTACGATACTCTCGGGCTTTATCCGTTTATTTAATGCGAAACCTGAATGCGAACTGAATGTGAACTGAATCGTCACCAGTCGTCGAAGGGTGAAACCAACTCGCGCATATGCTTGCGCATTTAAAAAATTCATGTCTGCATGAGAAGAGAGAACAGAAGCAGAGAAGTTTATGGGTAGAGTTGTTCGCTGAGGACAGGATTATTTTCCATGAAATGTATTCTTATCCTCTTACGTACATTGACTTTTATAGGAAAATCATTACATTTAACTTTCTTTCTTTGTGAAATCTAACTTACAATCATAATGTTGACCGTGAAGCTAACAGTTTTGATTTCTACGAGAATTTTTCTATTAGTTTAACTTTTGTAGATATGTATGTAGTTAACCAATACAGAAAGTTCACTTTTAATGAGATTATTTCGTTAAGTAATTCAAATCATACGTTTCAAATTATATCAATTTTTTTAATACATTTTAGAGAGCATCTCATTTTGTTTCAGAAGGTACGTTAGTAGATGTTTTATAAATAAATATATCATATTATCGTGAAAAACTTATCATTTTGTACAGCACATCACATGTGCAACTCACATTATTATCTTGTTATACGTACTGCACTTTCTATTGTGAATGATTAACAGGTTGCATTTTTGTTTTGATAATCATTATCATTGTTTACTCGACAACAGTCCGAAATACATTAAAATATAGAATCGCCGATTTGATCACCTGAAACAATTAATAAATATTTTTTATTATAAGATTCTTTCTACTAACATCGGAGAATATTATGTATTTATGGTATCATTGAAATCTAGCAACATTTTATATAAAAATATATATTTTGCTTACATCATTAAATGTCTTTAAAGAAAGACGATCAATTTTCCTAAGATAATTTTTGTCAGAATAAATGATATATATTTGTTATAGCACCACATTACTTTTTGCTGGAAGACGATACCATTCTAGCGTATTTGCTCTCCAAGCTACTTGATCTGTCTATCGTAATAAATATATAGAATTGCTTTTATTTATGCAGGTAAAAGGTTTCAATTCTTACGTAAGTAAATATTTTTAACAAATAAGAATTAACATCCGACCGTCTAAACGTATAACATACATACGTTTGAGAGTGCCAATGATCGGTCAAAGTTATATGTTATGAATTCAATATAGATTTTTAATTTTTTTATTTTAATTATCCGAATGTTTCGGCGCACAGTCACATCTGAGATAATTAAAATTTTTTAAATTAAGAATATATGTTGTATTCATATCATGTAACTTTAACCGACCATTGGCTCTCTCAAACGTATAAATATTTTTATTTCTACATGTTTATATAGAAACAAAAGAAGAAGCACAAAAGAAAAATATTAACCTTGTCAGAAGTTAGAGTAACATGAAAGGTATATGCGTTCGCAATATTTCCACATCTTGCCATTCCTGCGTGTTCAACATACACTCTGCAGTTAGATCCCCGTGACAAATTATCGATCAATGATTGTGGTATGTGTAATACATATTGCAGTATAATACAATAGACTGGAAAATTTTATTTATCATAATTTGAACTTTCTACCTACCATCAAGATACAAGATGTATCCCACACCCAGGTATTTTCTAATATTTCAAACAAACTACTTTTTTATGTAAATATGTACGGACGTATGTTTATGTTAAGCACAATGCAATGTTATCAATACGAAGTGCAGTTCAAAATGTATATTTGAAAAACGAAAAAACTTGACTCTTACAATTGATGTGCAAAAGCTATAATAATAGCTACATCATACGATACTTCGATCTGTTCGGGAATTACATTCATGTTTAAACGTTATTGAGAATATAAAGCTGCATTTTACATATATATATATATGTATAGATTGATAAATATGAAATTATATTTTTAGGTATTTTTTAATCTTTTTTTGTGTAATACATATTCGTGTAATACATTTCGCTGTAATATATATTACAGTGAAGTAAAGATCTGAATCATAATAAAATTTATATTAAGATAAAATAATTAGAATATAATTAATTATCTAAATACTTTGTATGAAATTACAATTAACTTTCTTTGTACTACGAAGAAAAGTTTTTACGCATTTTTCTGTATACGTGCATTATACATATGTACATTATAAGTCCTTATATTTGATATATCAATATCATAAACACATCAATATATAGTTTGATATTATCATTATGATGCGTTCGAATAGTATAACTTTCAACGAGAAGGAAGAGATTCACAGCAAAAATCTTCTATATATCAAAATTCAGCATAGTATCATTTTTAATTGTACGGTCAACACGATGCTACAAACGCTTTAAAGCGTTTTTCAGATGATCAGTTTGTAAAATTTTTTCTTCTAATTGATCCATCAAACGCTTCAAAACATTTGTAGCGAGACTTCGACCAAATAATATTATATAAGTAATAAAATAACGTTCCTTTCTTTCAGTCACGTTTATCAATAATAATAATAATACAAATTAATAATATATTAATATTAACATGTTAATATGTATACAAATTAATAAGACATATTAATTCGCCGACGAAGCAACTTGGACTTTGTTCTTTAACGTATGTACCTATTATTGTATGTACATGCGATAAAACATTCAAAAGTATGCAAATCTTAGGTTCTGATTTTGACTTGGGACATACAAAGATTGGACATTTTAATTCGATTAAAAAATTAAGCAATTTTATACGTTAAAATAAATAAAGTGAAAAGCACAAACAATTTTTCTATGATTATCAAGACCAGCCTTTCCTATTTTAATATCACACATACACACACACACACACACACACACACACACAGATATCTAATAGGTATTTCTTGCTTATATTTTTTTGATAAATATCACAATATTTTTTATCTAGACATGTTTTTATGTTATATGCATTATTTTATATGCATATCCATCAGAAATTGAATAAAGAATTATTCAAGAATTATATTATAAGGTCGGAATATGAACATTCGTAAATGTTTTCAATACATTTCATTTCAAACAAAGATATTTGTAAAATAAAAGCACTGTGTTTAAGAATGCTATTACTTTCATCTCACGGTAACAAATGTTTATTATTATTATTTTCCTGCTATTCATACTTTTCCGATTAATTCTTAAAATTTAGACAACTGTTCGAAGAAGATTTAAATATGTCACGGACATCTTAGCAACCTAAAATAAATTCATATCTTTATTAAGATACGCCCTTTTTCTCCGCAGAAATAATTTTCATGATTTTAACTTTGTGATTAAATAAATTTGAAAAATTAGCTATGTTACTTACATTGCCAAACGTTCTGAGAGAAATATCTACAAAATTTCCGGCTTTAAGTTTTAATGGGTTTTCGGAAATGGTTATAAGTAAAACCAATGCTCGTGCTGTTGTGTCTTCAAGACGGTACCATTCCAAAGTACGTGTTGTTAATGATACCTTTTCTCCCTGATTTTTATCAATTAAGTACAAATGTTAGTGATGTAAACAAGAAAAAATAACATTCCTCTAATGTTTCACTTCGTTGTTTGCTACATTTATTATATTGTACTGCCATCGACGATGAAAAATAATTCAACAACATATACCTGTTCGATGATTTGCTCGCCCATGTAGCAATAGATAAATATGATGTACCACAACATTATTAGTCCACTGATATATGCGCACATACTAACAACATTATGTTTTTCCCATTCCTGTAAATAGAACCTTTATAACTTTTTTAAAAAAACACTAACTTATGATACATCTTTTATCATTTATTTAAGCTTATATTTTCCTTGATATTTATTGTTATATAAATACTTTTGCGCACCATGATAATGTAATATCCTACTAAGCATATCATCACCGTAGATCCCATGATTTGTATTAAACTTGTATACTGAGTGGTACTCTGCACCAATTGTAAGAAACTAAAATATATTGCGAGAAGAACTATGAAAATCGTTTTTACCAAAAAAATTATCAGTATCTAATTCTATATATCTTTGATAATGGATAATACGTTATCCATTTTGCATAAACATACTATTGTGTATTAAGCTCTAACATAGTTGCTAGTGTAAAGACGTTAAACTTACAGTAAAAAATTAACAAATAAATCTCACTATTATACGCAAAGAGAAACTCACTTCCTTATTCTGATTTGCCGCTCCACGACAGTAGCCAACCTCTTGTTCAAGTTTTTCGGTTGATTCTCATTCACAAAATCGTTCATTAACGTCACAAGTATGTCTGATTGCGCGCAGAAATGCATCGCGCAAAGTGTCATGAAACCAAATGTCGTTACCGTAATCGTATATTTTATAAGTCCCGATAGAAATTGTATAAAATACACGATTTCGTAAACTGGACTACGTTGAACGTCAAATATAACGAGATAGGCAACGTGAGGTAGTGGTCTGATAGTGATATTTTCAGAAGTAATGATCTTTCCTATTGACAGAGGTATTATTATTCGAAAACCCATGCCACTGAAGTACATGAATATGGCACACATCATAATCAGACGTTTGCTAGTTCTGACTCTATCGATCATTGAGATGCGATCGCTAGGATTTATAACGTTTCGCCAGTCCTCATCAACGAATTTTAGACAGTTTCGCACCTCATTCTTGTAAAGCAGAGTACAACTATACTTGATGATTTCTATGAATGTGTATAGTCCGCTGGCCATAACTTTCACCCTTAAACGAAAGTCTGTCAACACCATAAATACATAAAGCATGGTCGGGATTAGTTCGCAGAAGAGGAACGTGAAACACGTGAGGATCAATGCGTTAGTCCCTATCAGTTCCAAAAAAAAAGAATTTGCATGTGTAAATGGCCATATTCCTAATAAACGAAAGAAGAAGCGATTCATCGCGAAAGCATTCTCTATATCACGTTCGTAATACTTGTTAGCAAACATTTTGAGAGACCAATTAAATCTACAATCTCTTATATGGAATCTTTCCACTTCATAGTATAATATCTTGTAGCATAAGAACACTTTTGTAAAGCACGATACAGACACAAAACGTGTCTATTCGCCACTGATCGCAGTATTCTTCGCTGAGCAGAACATAACTCATATTTCATGTGCGCCTGCGTGTGGAGGGAACTGAAAAGCCACGTCAAACGGATGGTTAACGAATATATAGAAACTTTCAAAGGGGTTGCGTGCAAGTTTATTTACGATTTTCCTTTATTGTAAGAAACAGAAGCTTTTCTACGGGAAGTTATGAAGGAATGAACTTTTCGTAATGAAAACTTACTGATAATAGTAGTGTATAACAGTGTATAAGTAAAACGTAAAAGTTGACTTGGATGAGTATAATGAAAAGTAACTGGATTTATCTCGTGACTATATTCCAAACAGTATGTTTGTCCCTTATATATATTATTATAAACATTTCTTTAATTAAAATCTGTACGTCGTTGAGGCATAATAAACATTACAATTCTCCATATAAAATTATTTTTTCGCGTGTTCATTCAGACGTTTCGGAGATTTTGATGCTGCTTAAACGAATCTCCGATATGAATTACCGAGTGGTAATTCATTCATGTTTTCGAAAAATAAATAATATTGTTTAAATTTACATCTTATTTCTATTATAATAATGTACTATTGCTTGATATCTTAAAAGAAGATAAATTATGCAATCAAAGATATATTTAGATTAAAATGTCTAATGCTGATCCTACATTAGTCGCAAGTAAATCTCAAGTTCGTTGTGACGGGTCAATTGGTTTGCTGTCATAGGCAAGGTTACGATTGATTTGTCATTAATATAGAATCATCTTACTGCGTCAAATTTTTGCATTCTTCGTATGTTCATATTAAGTACAATGCGATATTATCGATACGAAATGTAGCTTAGAATGTAGATTTGAAAAATGAACAATGACATAGAATAATTGCGCTTGATGTATAGGAGTTATAATAATAGTTGCATCATGATATACTTCGATCTGTTCGCTAATTACAATCGCGTCCAAAAATTATCAAGAATATAAAGCTGCATTTTATGTAGATACATGTGATTGATAAATATGAAATTATATTTTTATTTCTTAATTTTTTCAGTGCTCTAATTCATCTTACAATGAAGTGAAAATCCGATTCATAACAAAATTTATATAAAAATAAAATAGCCGTTAAATTTAATTAATTATCAGAATATATATATGCTTTCTATAAAATTATAATGTTTACTTTCTTCGTGTTGAGAAACAAAAATTTCTTACGTACTCTTCTATATACCTACATACGTTATGCGTACATGGACATTTTAATTAGATAGAAAATTAACCAATTTTGTACGTTAAAATATAATAAATAATCATAAAGTACATGAAAAGCACAAACAATTTCCTTCTGACTACCAAGATCAGTCTTTTCTGTTTTAATGTAACATCAGATATCTAACAGATAGTTCTTGCTTACATTTTTAAATGAATCTCATAATATCTTTCTTTTAGACATTTTTATATTATTTTACATGCATATCCATCAGAAATTGAATAAAGAATTATTGTCAATCAAGAATTATACAATGAAGTCCGAATATGAATATTTGTAAACGTTCATAATATATTTCATTTCAAATAAAGATATTTGATAAAGAAAAGCACTCTGTTTAAGTATACTGTTACTTCGATAGCGTGGCTACAAATGTTTATTATTATATTGTTCTATTCCTATTCATACATTTCCGATTAATTCTTAAAATTCAGTGATCAACTGATCGAAGAATATTTAAATATGTCACGGTCATCTTAGCAACCTAAAATAGATGCATATCTTCATTAAGATACGCTCTTCATCCCTCAGAAATCATTTTCATGATATTAATTTTATTGTTAAATAAATTTAACAAAATAGCTGTATTACTTACATTACCAAATGTTCTTAGAGAAATATCTATGAAATTTCCTGCTTTAAGTTTTAATGGGTTTTCGGAAATGGTTATAAGTAAAATCAATGCTCGTGCTGTTGCGTCTTCAAGACGGTACCATTCCAAAGTGCGTGTTGTTAATGATACTTTTTCTCCCTAGTTTTTATCAATCAAGTACTAGCGTTAATGGTGTAAACAATGAAAATAATATTTTTCTAGTATTCCACTTTGTTGTTTGTTACATTTATTATATTGTACTGCCATCGACGATGAAAAATAATTCAACAACATATACCTGTTCGATGATTTGCTCGCCCATGTAGCAGTAAATAAATATATTGTATGACAACATTATTAGTCCACTGATATATGTACACATACGAATAACATTGTGATTTTCCCATTCCTGTAAAATAAACCTTTATTAATTTTTTTACACAGATTTATAACGTAATACATCTTTTTTGTCGTTTATCTAAACTTATATTTCCTTTGAAATTTATTGTTATGTAAATATTTCTGCGCACCATGATAGTGTAATATTCTACGAAGCATATCATCACCGTAGATCCCATGATTTGTATTAAACTTGTATACTGAGTGGTACTCTGCACCAATTGTAAGAAACTAAAATATATTGCGAGAACTATGAAAATTATTTTTCACCAAAATTATTAGTAGCAAATCCTCTGATAATGAATAACACGTTGCTCATTTTGCAAAACGTACTATTGCGTATTAAGCTCTAACATAGTTGCTAGTGTAAATACGTTAAAGAATTAACGAATGAATCTCATTATTGTACGCACGGAAAGACTCACTTCCGTATTCTGATTTGACGCTCCACGACAATAGCCAATCTCCTGTTCACGTTTTTCGATTGATTCTCGCTCACGAAATCGTTCATTAATGTTACAAGTATGTCAGACTGCCCACAAAAGTGCATCGCGCAAAGTGTCATGAAACTAAAAGTTGTAATCGAAATCGTGTACTTTATAAATCCTGCTAGAAATTGTATGAAATATATGATTTCGTAAACTGGACTACGCTGCACGTCAAGTATAACGAGATAGGCAACGTGAGGCAGTGGTCTAATAGTGATATTTTCAGAAGTAACGATCTTTCCTATTGACAAAGGTACTATTATTCGAGCAGCAATGCCAGTTGAATACACGAATGTGGCACACATCATAATAAGACGTTTGCTAGTTCTGACTCTGTCGATCATCGAGATGCGGTCACTCGGATTGATAACATTTCGCCAGTCCTCATCAACGAATTTTAAACAGTTTCGTACTTGATTCTTGTATAGCAGGGTACAACTATACTTGATGATTTCTATTAACGTGAATAGTCCACTGGCCATAACTTTCACCCTCAAACGAAAGTCTGTCAACACCAAAAATACATAGAGCATAGTCGGGATTAATTCACAAAAGAGGAACGTGAAACACGTGAGGATCAGTGCGACCGTCTCCATCAGCTCCAGAAGAAAAAAATTTGCGCGTGTAAATGGCCATATGCCTAATAAACGAAAGAAGAAGCGGTTCATCGCGAAAGCATTCTCTATGTCACGTTCGTAATACTTGTTAGCAAACATTTTGAGAAACTGATTAATTTTACAATTTCTTATATGAAGTTTTTCCACTTCATAGTATAGCTGGTAGCACACTTTTGAAAACACTTTTGTAATGCACGACACAGACGCGAAATGTGTCTGTTCGTCACTGATCGCAGTGAAGAGCAGTATCTTTCGTTGAACGCAACATAACTCATAATTTATATGCGCCTGCGTATCAAAGGAATTGAAAAGCCACGTCAAACGGATGGTTAACAAATATATAAAAACTTTCGAAGAGGTTACGCGCAAGGCAGGTTGCGTAATAGTTTATTTATGATTTAACAAATCTATAGAAACTTTCAAAGGGATTGCGTGCAAGAGAAATTGCATACAAATTTATTTACGATTTTCCCTTATTGTAAGGAACAAAAAGTTTTCTACGGGAAGTTATGATGGGGTAAACATTTCGCAAACTTACCGAGAATAATAATGTGTAAGCAAAGCATAGAAGTTGACTTGGCAAAGCATACGTGGAAAAATAATTATATTTATCATTCGACTATATATTGAACAATTCGTTTTTCCTTGTATTAAAATCACTTTTTTTTATTAAAATGTGTACTGCATGTAGAAGCCTTACAATGATCTTTATAAAATGTTACCCCTAAAAAAACTTTTTTATAAAAATAAATATATATGTATGTAATATATGTATGTTAGAAAATATCAAATATTACGTCCTTCCTAAAATAAAAGTTTATTTTCTTAATAAGCTATTTAAATATAATTGTTTAAAAATTAACTTTTCAAAAACGAATATGATATCAATGTGCAATTAGCTAAATATTACTTAAAAAGGATCTCGAAAAGGCTTATATATTTAAACCCCCTCCCCTAATTCTATATATACAATTCATAAAAGCAATAATTAAACAAAAGAAAGATATTAATAATTTGCTTACTAATCTTGTAAATTCGTTATCTATGATTATAAATCAAAATCAATATTATATTACATATTATTTCTTCATATAAATTTGTAATGTATAAAGTAAATGTAAATGTGTAAAACAACGATGCGCAAAACGCATCGTTTCGCACACTTGCCGGTTGCCGCTGAGCGATATCGGTTTCTACTCAGTGCTGTTATTTGCTTTTGAATGAAGTAATGATTCAGTTTATGTACAAATTTATATAAAAATAAAATAGTTATCAGAGAGAGATAAATTTAATTAATTATTGAACTGCTTTCTATGAAAACTTAATGTATATTCCGCCGTACTGAGAAACAAAAATTTCTTACGCATTCTTCTGTAAATATACATTATTATATTAAGTTTTACATTTGACATGTCTATAAAATTCTCTTTATGATACGATATTATCATTATAATGAATTCTAGTCATAGTTCCGGAAAGAAGAAAAAGGACAGGATAGAAATATTCATTTAATTGTTTTTATAAGCATGTTAAAATACGTCACAGCTGCTTTGATAACCTGAAAAATGAGCATAATATCCTAATGTAGTTATTTTCTTATTATTTCTTCGTGATTTTATTTTTATTCAACTAATATGGTAGGACTTCTTAGGTAAATACAATTAAGAAATATTGTACTTAATTTATGTCTATTATATTTTAATAATAATTATTACTATTGGATAACGCGCGCGTATTTAATTCTAATATTTATACAATTGTGTTATTGATTCATGTAAAAATGAGTGAATGCTTTTAAACGTGTATGCTTACATCGCCATATGTTTTTAATGATAGATCCATAATGTTTCCAGCAGTAATCTTGGTGGGCAAATTCGACATGATTATCACCAACACGATCCCACGCGCATCCTTATTTGGAAGACGATACCACTCGAGTATGCAAGACGTTCTAGCTATTTTCTCAGCCTGTTATTAATATTATCAAGTACGTGTAGAAAATTTTTTGTGGATTTAAACATCGCTGATAAATATTATAGAAATGTTTCCAACAACTTCTTCTCAAGTATTGTCTTGTATAAAGTAATAAAGCATTACACTATAAACTATACATATTATTATACATATACTATATAGCAGTAATGCCCAATCTTTCTTAAACTAAAGACCATTTTCAAATTGTATATCTTACGGACTGCATGAAGTCTATTCCGGTGGATATGCATATATGTATATAAAATATTTTATACTGATATTAAGATAAAAATTTTTTATCTGTTATACTGATTTTAATAATTGTTTTACACGACTATACACTTCGTTTAAAAATAAGTACCAAAACTCACTCTGAATTTTATCTCATCAATAAGAAAAAATAAAAAATTAAGATAATTTATAAAAATCAATTATTTTACAATCATATTTATTTATGAAAAGCTGCATTTTCGAGTATAAATTAAAAAAATTTTTTGGTGAATCTCAAATGCATTTTAAATTTGTATAAAATAGAGAATATAATTTTATATTCTCGACTATGAATCGGCGAGCTACGAGTTACGCATCACTGCTACATCTTATATAATATAATCGTACGTATACTAAAAAATAATTGTTACATATATCACCATCGCACGATTTTATCTTTCCGAGGAAAAGGTTTGAACAGACATACCTGAACAGTAAGTTGTTCACCAGTGTAACAAAACATAAACATGTTTATCAACATGGACATAAGTGCTGTAAAGTAAGAACTCATAGCTAATGAATTGCTATTTTCCCATTCCTATAAATATTATATTATTGCTGGAAATATTCTTTTTGCTTTGTTATTGAAACTCCCGAATATATAAAATTACGAACTATTATTATAAAATATCCTAGAATGCAGGCATTCATCGTACACCCCATCAATTCTATTAGACACGCTTGTTGTAGAGTATTTTCTACCAATTGCAAAAAACTGAAATGTTGACGGCACCGAATCAATACATTCAGAAAATGAGAAATTAGAATTGTCTGTACAAATATGATGTTAAATACCGATTAGTGAATAATCACTGTTACAACCGTTTAGTCACTGCATGTATATAATTTTAATAAAATAAACTCTAAAATTCTTACCTTCGAATTCTTATTTGATGTTCAACCATTATTGCCAGCTTCCTGTTCACTTCTCGTTTCTGTTGCCATTTCTCCTTTACAAAATTTCTCATCAAATTCATCAGGATTTTTAACTGGCCGCAGATGTGCATCACGAAGACCGTTGCAAGACCACATAAACCTGTTGTTATCGAGTAAGTGATTATCCCAGATAATATTTGTATTGCAAAGATCAGCTCGTAAGTGGGGCTGACTTGTACATCGAAGAAAAGGAAATAAGCCGGGCAAGGCAGAGGTTTGATCGTAACATTTTGTGGAGTGATAATTTTTCCTTTGGCAAATGGCAAGATCAGTCGAAAAGAGAGCCCGCTGCCATACATGAAAACCGCGCAAAGTGTAACCAGACGTCTTCCAATTTTTGCAGATTCGATCATCGTATTTCGCGCTTTCGCATTCGTAACAACTTTATAATCTTCCTCGATGTGCTGCAAGCAGCGTTTTATATTCTTCTCATGGAATACCAAATTGCTATATTTACCACAGGCCATGAAGCCAAAAAGAAGCAAAGGGATTGTTCGGACCCTGACGCGTGGTCTCTTCTCGATCAACCAAAAAAGAACCCCGGGTATCAGGACAGAATAGAGAAGAATGTGACAGATCGAGATTAAGAAGTACTTCCCAATTTTCTCGCGGGTAGATTTTTTCCCATAAGAAGGCCATACTCCAAGTAAGCTTAGAACGTTTCGCGTCAAATATGTAATGTAAATTATGTCGTCTTTATAATGCTCGTTGCGCAACATTCTTTTGTCGATCTTATGCGAAGTCTTTATTCAAACTGGGTGGCTACTGACCACTGCGAATACATACTGTCAATAAAATAAATTCGTCGTTTGCGCTTGCGCGCATTATAAATTACAATATTGCATGAAGGAGAAAGTTTGAAAGCAGTAGAGTTTCTAAGTCAACTTGCTCACCAAGGGTTGGAATTGCTTTCCAGGAATAGTGTTTTCATTCATCATAGTGTACATTTTTTTTAAACAACTTAGAATAATCTTTTTGACGACTTCAACTTTTCTTCCTGTATTAAAACTCGTAATTGCATTGGACATTGACCGCCCACAATGGTTCTGATTACATAATACATAGTACAATATATATCGAAATATTTCAATTTGTTTAGAGATTGACACATAGAGATTATGTGAAAACAATCGTGATGTTTTCGTTAGTTTGGCGACGTTAATGCCCTAAAGATGGATATTCAGTAAAAAAAATATCAATTTTGTATCAAAAAAGATGTCATAAGAAAAACATCAAAAATTACTTATTCTCTTTTTTACAGTATCTTACTATATTCTACCATAACTTGTAATTGTGTGAGAGGCTAAAAATTAAAACACTATATCGTTTTAATATGCCGATGAAGTTTTTTGTTTATCTGGAAAATAATCGTGTTTAATTGTCTCTGTTACAACTTGCAATTGGAAAGTCACATCTAGCGGATGTATAATGTATGCATAGAAACTTTTGAAATGATGCACGCAAACTTTGTCATTTTCTCCCATCGTAAGAGACTGAAAGTTGTTCTGTTGAAATCAATGAAAAGATTGACGTTCGTAAAGAAAACTTACTAATAATAGCAGCTGTATAAGCAAAACACGATTTATTACTTGGCAGAATATCTGCGGAAAAGAAACTGCATTTATCATTGTATCTTAAATAATAAATAGTATTCTGTTATTTATATCATCGTTATTTTCGACTAAAATTAAAGTATGTGCATTTAGATAGTAAAGTTACAGTGCTCTGTAGGAATAATATTTTATCACGTGCAGAGATTTTAATGTGTAAGATGGATTTCCAAGTGTAGTAATGGTTTCAAAGCAAAGAGAGATTACTTATTGTATAACTCATTTCTAGCTCATATAACATTGAAATGCTGCTTGAAACTTTAGGATAAGAAAAATTGTGCAATGAATTAATTAAATAAGAATATATTTAAAGTAATATTACACCGTATATATTATGCTTATTGCATCGATTTTTGTTCTTTTCCTACAATACATTGTTAAGTTTAGATTATAGTTTCGAAGACCATTGACTGACAATTGATGTGTATTAGTTTGTGATACGTCAGGCTATACTTTTGCTCGCAAGTTACAATCGTGCACAAAAGTTAACAGGTACAATAAAACAGCATTCATATATGTATGGAATTGATAAATGTAACATTACTTTTAGTTATATCATAATTTCTACTCAGTGCTCTTATTCGTGTTGTAATGAAATAAAGAAATTTATTTAAATGTATACAGAAGATAAGATAGTAATTAAAAAAATTAAAAAATTAAATAATTATCGAAATTTCTATAAAAATGTAATATTCAGTTTCTCGTCGTACTGAGAAATGAAATTTCTTACTCACGCTTCCATATATATACATTATATCAAACTTTTTGTACCAAACTTTTGGACCATTTATATATAATAAACATATACAATATGATATTATCATTACGATGCGTCCGTAGTCATAGTTCCGATAAGAAGAAGGAAATACAGAACATAATATTCAGCTGGTCATTTTCAGAAGCATATTAAAATACGTCACAGCTGTCTTTACAACCTGAACAATAAGCACAATATCTCGTAGTTATTTATCACTTCGTCGTAACTTTATTTAACTAACGTGATAGGCTGATTAAAAAATATGATATTTGATTCACGTCTATTAAGCCATTGATAATAATTTTTGGATAACATAATTGACCGCCGTGTTACAATTGTTATTAATTTCTGAAAAAATGAGTGAATGCTTTTGAACAAATATGCTTACGTCGCCATAAGTCTTGAATGATAAATCCACGATCTTCCCAGCTGTGATCTTAGTCGGCAAGTTTGACGTGATTATTATCAATACGATCCCACGCGCGTCTTTATTCGGAAGACGATACCACTCGAGTACGCAAGATTTTCTAGCTACTTCCTCTGCCTGTTATTAATATTATCGAGTATATATAGGAAAATTTTTGCTGATTTAAACATTGTTCAAAAAATATCATAAAAACTTTTATAATAATTTCTCAAATATTTTGCATAACTGAGAGTTATTATACATATATTATTATATACTATACGATAAGGAAAAAGAAAAAGAAGAAGGAAAAAATGTGGACAAACATACCTGAACGGTAAGTTGCTCACCAGTGTAACAAAACAAGAACACATTTATCATCATGGATATAATTGATGAAAAATAGGAGCACATAGCTATCCGATTGCTGTTCTCCCATTCCTATAAACGTTGTATTTTATTGTTGGAAATAACTTTCTTTTGCTTTGTTACTGAAACTCCCGGATATATAAAATATTACAAACCATTATTATAAAATATCCTAGAAGGCAGATTAACATCGTGCATCCCATCAATTCTATTAGACACGCTTGATGTAGAGTATTTTCCATCAATTGTAAAAAACTGAAATGTCGATGGCACCGAATCAATGTATTCAAAAAATGAAAATTGAAATTACCTACACACTGCATGTATATGATGTTAACCGATTAGCGAACAATAAATTATTATAAACGTTCAATCACTTGATGTATGTGATTTTAATAAAAGAATAAAACTCTTAAACTCTTACCTTCGAAATCTTATTTGATGTTCAACCATTCTTGCCAGTTTTCTATTCAGTTCTCGTTTTTCAAGCCACTTTTCCTCGACGAGATTTGTCATCAAATTTATGAGGACCTTCAGCTGGCCGCAGGCGTGCATCACGAAAACAGTCGCAAGACCACATAAACCTGTTGTTATCGAGTAAGTGATTATCCCGGATAATACTTGTATTGCAAAGAGCAGCTCATAAGTAGGGCTGATTTGCACATCGAAGAAAATGAAGTAACTCGGACAAGGTAGAGGTCTGAGTGTGATGTTTTGTGGAGTGACAACTTTTCCCCTGGCAAATGGCAAAATCAATCGAAAGGAAAGTCCACTGCTGTACATGAAAATCGCACAAAGTGAGACTAGACGTCTTCCAATCTTCGCAGATGTAATCATCGTGTCCCGCGCTTTTATGTTGGTAACGTTTCTATAATCTTCCTCGATGTGCTCCAAGCAGCGTCTAATTTTCTTTTCATGGAATAGCAGATTGATATATTTACTACAAGCCATCAAAACAAAAAGAAGCAGAGGAATCGTCTGGACTCTAACGCGTGTTCTCTTTTCAATAAACCAGAAAAGGATTCCAGGAAGGAAAACGCAATAGAGAAGAATGTTACAGCTCGAGATTAAGAAGTACCTCCAGACTTTCGCGCCGGTAAAATCTTTTTTATTGTTAGACGGCCAAATTCCGAGTAGGCCTAGAATGTTTCGCGTCAAATGTGTGACGTAAATCATGTCATCTTTATAATGCTTATTGTGGAACATTCTTTTGTTGATCCTGTGTGAAACCTTTGCGCAAACTGAATGGTGACTGATCGCTGCAAATACGAACTACCGATAAAGTAAATTCATTGTCCGTTTGCGCTTGCGCGCATTAAAGATTGAAAGATTGCGTGAATAGAAGGATTCGAAAGCAGGAGATTTTCTAAGTTTGCTCACCGAGGGTTGGAATTGTTTTCCTAGAATATGAATTCCATTCGTCAAAGTGTATATTTTTTTCAAGCAGCTAAGAATAACAACTGGCTTCAACTTTCTTTCCTGTGTAATGTAAATCTAAAACTCACGGTTACATCCGTTCGACGTTGATCGCCAATAATAGTTCCGATTACATAGTACAATAATATTTCGATTTGTTTAAAGATTAATACATATAAAAGCCATTGTGATTTTTCTAACATGATGACAATGTTGTGATAATGTCAGTGAATTAAATAAAGATAAAAAATATTTATATTTTTGTCCTATTATATTCTACGATAACCATTTGGTGCGAGAAAATAAACTTATTGAACTTTTGTAGTTGCGTGAGAGGTTAAAAATAAAAGCACTTAATCATTTTGATATATCGATGAAGTTTTCCGATTCTCTGAAAAAATAATCAGTTTAACTGTATTAATGTCTTTGTTACAACTTGCAACTGAAAAGCAACATCTAGCGAATGTATAATGTACGTATAGAAACTTTCGAAGTGACTGCGTGCAAACATATTTGTGCTTTTCTTCGTAAGGTAAAGAAAGTTGTCCTATTGGAAGCAATGAAAAGGTTGCTGTATCGTAAAGAAAACAGATAACAGTGTATATAAGTAAAACGCGTTTTTGACATGGCAGAGTATTTGTAGAAAAATAACTGTAGTTTCATCATGCGATCATTATGTTAAACAATAAACAGTATTTTTTGTTACTTTCATCATATCATTGTGATTATTTGTTTTAAATACAGAATGCATTCAGACATGTTTGTCTACACTGTGTCGAATTTTTTTTTTTTTACTGCTCATGTCACTCACAGTACGATATTATCGATACGATATGTAGCATAGATTGTAGTTTCAAAGACCGAACGTTGCTATGTGATTGATAGCTTTGATTAACAGCTTTTTAATATAAGTGACACATGAGACTTCGATCAGTTCGCAAGTTACAATCGCAAACAGAAATCAATGAGTATAAAGCAACATTAGAATTTCATAGATAATATTGATAAATGTGATTGACAAAAATGCGCAATTATATTTTATAATTTTTACTTCTTAATTTCTACTCGATACTCTTATTTATCTTCAAATGAAAGTATACTTGGTTTATATAAATTTATAAGAAATAAAATAGTAATTCGACTTAATCAATTATCGAATTGATATGAAAATCTAATGTAAAATCGCGTATTGAAAAATAAAAATTTCTTACATATGTTTTTATATGTGGAAGAAATACATCTAAATCAAGAATATTTGTGTATATATATATATGTACATTATAGTAAACTTTTGTATTTGACACATCAATATCACGATCATACATAATACGATATTACCATTATAATTTGTAGCTGTAATTTTAATGAAAAGGAATATAGAGCCAAAATATTTAGCCGGCTACATTTAAGAGCATGTTAAAATACGTTACAGCTGTCTTTACAACCTGAAAAACGAGCATAATATTTTATAGTTGTTGCTTTATCATGGTTTCGTTTAATTAGCTCGATAAACTGAATAAAAAAATTGTATTTGGGTGACCATTACAGTATGTAGTGATAATAACAATCACTTAATAACGTATTTAATTGTTAATGTTAGAATTGTTGCTGGTTCCTGAAGAAATTAATGAATGTTTTTTAATATATTCTTACATCACCGTATGTTCTGAATGATAGATCCATGATTTTCCCAGCAGTGATCTTGGTGGGCATATTCGACATGATTATCACCAGCACGATCCCACGCGCTTTCTTGTCCGGAAGACGATACCACTCGAGCTCGCAAGATGTACTCGCTACTCTTTCTGCCTGTTATTAATATTATCAAGTATGTGTAGCAAAAAATTAAGCGGATTTTAAGAATTAAGTATATATTACTTAAAAATTGTTATAAAAATATTTTCAACAATTTCTTCTCAAATAATTTTTTGTATAAACAAATAGCATTATTAGCATTATAGCAGAAACATTATCACATATTATTATACTATACGTAATTGTATATAATATCATCGCATAATATAATCATTACGAGCAAAAGGTGTGAATAATTATACCTGAACGGTAAGTTGTTCACCAGTATAACAAAACATGAACATATTTATCATCAGAGATGTAAGTGTTATGACATAAGAACACATAGCTATCGAATTGCTATTTTCCCATTCCTATAAAAGTTACATTGCAAGTAGTAATATTCTTTTCTTTCGCTTTATTATTAAAACTTTTGGATATATAAAATTACGAACCATTATTATAAAATATCCCAAAAGGCAGACTATCATCGTGCACCCCATTAATTCTATTAAACACGCTTGTTGTAGAGTATTTTCTACCAATTGCAAAAAACTATCGACGGCACCGAATCATCATATCCGAAAAATGAGAAAATAGTACTAAATATATTCTGCATGTACATGATATTAATTACCGATTAGCGAATAATCAATTATTACATAAATTGCTTTGATGTACACACGTAGGTTTAATAAAAATTAAAACTGATCATTCTTACCTTCGAATTCGTATTTGATGTTCAACCATTTTAGCCAGTTTCTTGTCCACTTCCTGTTTTTCCTGCCATTGATCCTCGACGAGATTTCTCATCAAATCTACTAAAATCCTTAGTTGGCCACAAGCATGCATCACGAAAACGGCCGCAAGGCCACATAAAGCTATCGTTATCGAATAAGTAACTATCCCGGATAAAAACTGCATTGCAAAGATCAGCTCGTAAGCGGGGCTGACTTGTATATCAAATGAAAAGAAATAAGCCGGACAAGGCAGCGGTTTGATCGTGATATTTTGCGCAGTGACGATTTTTCCTTTGGCAAATGGCAGGATCGATCGAAAGGAGAGCCCGCTGCCGTACATGAAGACTGCACAAAGTGTGACCAGACGTCTTCCTATCTTCGCGGATTCAATCATTAGATCTCGCCTCTCTGCACTGGTAATGATTCTCCAATCCTGTTCGATGTGTTTCAAGCAGCGTCTGATATTTTTCTCACGAAATACTAAATTGCTATATTTACCACTGGCCATGAAACCGTAAAAAAGTAAAGGGATTGTTTGGACTCTGACGCGCGTTCTCTTCTCAATCATCCAGAATAAGGCACCGGGAATCAGGACGCAGTAGAGAAGAATGTAAGAGATAAAGATCGAGAAATACTTCCAAATTTTTTCGCCAATAGTTCTTCTGCTGTTGTAATTCGGCCAGACTCCAAGTAGGCTCAGAACATTTCGTGTCAATTGTGTGATGTAAATCATGTCATCTTTGTAATGCTCGTTGTACAGCATTCTTTTATCGAGCCTATATGAAATCTTTATGCAAACTGAATGGCAACTGATTGCTGCAAATAAAAACTATACATAAGATAAATTCGTTGTTCGCTTGCGCTTGCGCACCTTAAAAATTAATATGTTACCTGAAAGAGAGGGTTTGAAAGCAAAAGAGTTTCCAAGTCAACTTACCGAGGGTCGAGACTGCTTTCCATGAATAGTTTTTCCATTCGTCAACGTGTACATTTGTTTTCAAACTAAGAATAATCGATTTGATGATTTCAATTTTTCTTCCTGTACTAAAACTGTTGCTTTGGACGTTGACCGCTAGCAATAGTTTCTACTACATAGTAGAGAATACTTTTGTTTATTCAGAGATCAATGTATAACAATATTGTTTTTGCCGTGATAGTGTTATATTTCTGATATTACGATTCTGACAACTTCAATAGATTAAATAAAACTAAAATTATATTTACATTCTTGCGTTTTATTATATTCTACATTAACTACTTGGGGCAGAAAAATAAACTTGCTAAACTTGTAGTTGCGTGAGAAACAGAAAATGAAAACGTTTCAAATTGTTTCCATGGAAGATATTTCGTTATGCACATCGGTTAAGTTTTCTGATTCTTTGAAAAATAATTACGTTTGATTCTGCTGATGTCACAACTTGCGTTCCTCGAAGCAATGTTAGTGAGTAAAAGTTGTATATAAAATGATAGTACCTACGTATTTTAACTTTTCTATAGCTTTTATTTCTTTTTAAAACACAGGGGAGACCGAAGTCAGTTGTCACAGTTTTCGATTAGCGATTTTTAGAAAAAAGTGGATGTCTGATTTTAAAATATTATATACGTTATAATATATACCTACATCCTATAGGTATTAAAAAAATATTATTCTTGAATTCGTCATATTGTAAAAATAAGTTATTTAATTTTAAATGAAAATGGGAAAATGTTATAATTAGTCCCATGTGCTGGATTTATTGTCATACGTTCTAGGATTGGCAGTAGATATTTTATTTATGGATAACACATATAAAAATACAATTTTTAATATCAGTTTTATATTTTAAGAAATAATATTAATTATTGTATTACAAATTATTGTAATACAAATAAAATAGTTATTTTAATAATAAAATACATAATTTGTTTTTGTACTATAATTTCTATACGAAAAACATATTATATCAACATTTTTTTATCATTGGTAAAGACAAATTGACTTGAATTTTGACAAGGAATTAACGTAATATTTTAAAGATGAATTTTATTAATTTTGTACTATCATTATTGCGTTCTTACAAAGTTATACTTGGTATGTTGGATCTTAACAGTTACACAGCTGGTTAAGGAGGTTATCAATACTCGAATTGACAATCATCTCAACCCACCAAGTAATGACAAAATTTCAATCAAAAATTATTGATATATGTTGAAGATGACTTAAAAAAAGTCGAAACGTTCATATTAATAAAGAAATGATATAAACTTGATACTCAGTTTTATTGAATATACATACGCTAATTCTAACAGTTTCCTCTCAACTGCCTACATCTCACACTAAATATTTATGAAAAACATATATCTATATAAAATATAATATATTTGTAAATATGTTGTATAAAAATGTGTCGAACTAAAGACATTAAAAATGATTGTCATCTAACTCTGTTTCATTTTGGTCAATCTACCCTATATAGCTATTTTTAATTTAAAAAATTGTATTCACAAACTCTCTCTCTCTCTCTCTCTCTCTCTCTCTCTCTCTCTCTCTCTCTTTGTCGGGATAATGATTAATTAATTGTAGCAAAGATTTTCTAAGACATGTCATTTTCCATGAATACAGAGATATTGCGATTAATAATGCCAAAGACTTGTCAGACAATAAAATAGGTGATAAAAAAAATTTACTCACCAACTTCATTTTCTTAAAAGTCGTTATAAATAATATGTATAATGCTTTTAGACAAACAATTTTACACAAAATTAATATTGTATCAGTAATCTTCTGTTAAAAAAAGAGATTTTTCTGTCATGTACTGATTGAGTTGTAAGCATTTTGACAATCAACCCCGTACGACAACCAATCTCTGTCTCTCCTACTAGTAAAGGAATTATTGTTTAGGAATTATGAGCCTTTACTATTTTTATTTAAAAGTTACATATTTCTTTGAAGACTACGTTTATGCATTTATACTGACTATTCAAACTTAGCCAACGACAGAGCGTAAAAGGTTTAAATATGTTACGGCCGTCTTAACGACATAAAATATAACAAATCTTTGTAAAAATGTAGTTTTTTTTTCAACATATTGTTACTTACGTTGCCGAATGTCCTGAAGGAAAGATCAAAATATTTTCCTCCTCTAACTTTTGTCGGAGGATTCGACATGAGCATAATTAGTATTAGCGATCGCGCTTTCGCGTCCGGAAGACGGTACCACTCCAATGTGCATGCTGTTAATGCCACTTTTTCTCCCTAATTTAATCAATTACACAAAGTAGATTATTAATAAAAAAAATAATGCTCGCATTAATTGATAAATGCTAATTATTACTTCGATAAAGCGATAGCATACCTTCGTCGAAAGTTGTTCACCGATAAAGCAAAAGATAAAAATGTTGAAACTAATCGATGTGAGTCCAACGAGATACGAACATAGAGCTACAGCATTGTTATCCTCCCATTCCTGTAAATTACGATTATATTGTATTTATTTTTATGATACTTGCTGAGTCTGTGCATTTTATATATTTTACATATTACGATATCTTTAATACTCTATCACTGAAATTATTGTCGCTAAATATTCATTTTATGCGCACCATGATAACAAAATATCCTAAGAGACACACAATTATGGTGCATCCCATAATTTCCATTAGACTTGTATATTGTATGGTGTTCTGCACTGATTGAAGGAAACTAAAATGATCGTAGAAAAAAATAAATTTTGTTTTTCAAAAGTTTGCTTATAATTAAAACAAGAAATATTATATAATTGTACAATAAATAAGATTCTCTATATTTTTACACAAAAATGAAAACAAGTGTAATCAATAATTAAGTACATTTGTAAAGAATCTTATTTATTGAACAATTCATTGGATATGAATTAATCACAACGTCTTTTTACACATAGATTTCAATTAAAACATTAAACTATTAACAAACATATTCGTTAAAGATACTTGTAAAATTAGTCTTACTTTCGTGTTTTGATCTGATGCTTTACGATAGCGGCCAATCTTTCGTTCACATTTTTAAGTTCACATTCATTTACCAGATTATTCATCAGGATCATCAGTATGTCCAGCTGTGCGCAAGTGTGCATCACGAAGAGACCCGCAAGACCACATATCGCCGTTGTGACCGTACATTTTACGAATCCAGAGAAGAACTGCATAAGAAATACGATCTCGTAAGCGGGGCTAAGCTGCACATCGAATAAAACAAAGTAAGTCGGGCACGGTAGGTGTCTGACCGTGAAATTCTGTTCAGTAATGATCTTTCCGGCGGACAACGGTATAATTGTCCGAAAAGACACTCCAGTGGAGTACATGAATAGGGCGCATATTATCAGCAAACGTCTGCCTGTTCTAGCCTTATCGATCATCACATCGCGATTGTGCGAGTTGACTATTTGCCAATCATCCTCAACCTGCTCGAGGCAGTTTCTCACTTGATTCCTTTTGGTCAGCAATTGGCCGTACTTGGCCATTGCTAGCATCGTAAATATTACGGTGGTGACGACTTTCAACCTGGCACGGGTCTCTCTCTGCACGATGGCCATGTAGAGAACCGGGACCAATTCGCAAGTGAGGAGGATGTAGGAGACGAAGACCACCGCAACTCTCTCAAGAGTCTCCGGAAACTAGGATTTTGTACGCGCGTATGGCCAGACACCCAGCAGACGAAAGACAAAGCGACTAAGCTTGAAAACGTAATTTATATCGCGTTTGTAATTTTTATTGGCGATCTTTTCCATGTTAGTCCGTGTGCAAGCCACAGGTGGTGAAACGATGCGCGTTCACTTGCCACTGATCGCGGTTGATCCGCTATTCGATTTGAAGGGAACTCGCGACTCTTGTGCGCTTGCGTGTTGAAACAATCTTTCAAAGCCACGTCGAGCAAATCGCTAACATCGTAGAAACTTTGAAAATACTATTTTTGTTGTACGCAGGAAGGATTTCCCGGAAATTATGAAAGGGTTGAAGATCCGAGAAAAAAGTTTACTTGTAATAGCGGTGCGGTAGGTTTTACAATTTTCCGTAAAGTACTTTCAAACATGGATATAATAAATTATCAAAATAAATGTAGCCACTTCCGATTAAATTATTTAAACGTTCTGTGTGACTTCTATTATATGTACAAATTGTGTGACAGGGCATGACAATATTAAACATGCAGATAATAAAGAGGAACAACATAATATTTTCCATCAAGAGCCGTTTGAATTTCCAATGCAAACCATATTGAAAGGTAAACGTGTACCTCCGATAATTGATATTCACAGCAAATGAATATTCCATTCGCAACAGGATCTTCTTTACAATTGTATTTACTCTTTTTAATTGATTCGTTATGTCTTTCTATATTTATCGAACAGTGCAATAGAGTTTATCATTTATATACTATAAAAAGATATTATAGAAATGCAAAAAGATAGATGTTCGTGATGTATTATAGCATTTTTTATGTATTTCTGTACTAAATAATAATTATTTATTTTGTTATATCCAATATCTATTTCTCATATAAGAGTAAACATGTACGAAATTTGTGTCCACATATATTATAGTTATAATGATATTATACGTACTTTCAATTATTTTTTTATAATTAATACTACTTAGTATCATTAACATTGATAATAAATCTTTCATATTAAAATATATAATATGGATATGTATGTTTATTTTAAAAAGAAATTTATTACCAGTCCAGTTTGCCATTTATTCGGTAAGTTGTCGAAGCATGTTAAGATAAATTACAGCCGATTTAATTACCTGAAAAATAATTTCTTAAATCTATATAAGTAAGCCAATAACTAACTTTTAATCATAGACAATTACTGTATATTACTTACATCACCAAATGTTTTGAATGACAGTTCGATGAATTTTCCAGCTGTAATTCGTGGTGGAATATTCGAAGAGACTATCACTAATATCATATCTCGCGCCACGTTTGTCGGAAGACGGTACCAGTCGAGCGTGCAAGTAATTAAGCCCACCTCTTCTGCCTATCGCGAACAATTATGAGTACCTCATATATAAAAAGTAATAAATGTAAGTTTTTATTATAAAATGATACTCATTTTACTCATCTTAAAAGATATAAAATAATTACGAATTACCTGCGCTGTTATATACTCTCCGATATAACACAAAATAAAAATGTTAATAATGACAGATATGAGAGTTGTTACGTACGTACAGAAAGCCGGTAAGTTTCTATTGTCCCATTCCTGAGAATAAAGTTAGTTTGTACTCGCGACACGCATTACACTTAAACACAATAAATTTGCTTGCATTATTTTTCGTACCCCTATTATGCAATATCCGATAAGACATATTATCGTGGTGCACCCCACTATTTCGACTAAACTACTGTAGCGCAAAACACTCTCCACCAGTTGCAAGAAACTAAAATGTATTTATGAAGCACTCGATTCAGTGTAGTTCGAAACAAAAAAATTATCAATTTGTAATTTGGAAAATATATAAAATTTATTATTAATAATATTTAATATCAAATATAACTATAAAATGTATAAAACTATTTATATAGGGGATAATTTTATGGCTGATATTTATAGTCTATTCTTATTTTAAGCCCATCCTAAGATATCAATACGGTTCTGTAATTTTATGATATTTTAAGACTACGTTTAAGATGGTCTTAAATATAAGAATCGACTATGAATACCGATTACAGAACCGTATTAGCATCATAAGACGTTACTTAAAATGATCTTCAAATAAGAATGGATATAAATACTGGCCTATATCTTTGAGCATATTTATTCTATGTCCGATTTATACCGACGATTTATACCAACAAAGAATTATTTAAAGTACTCAGAAAAATTGTAAACAAAGTACTTACTTTTGTATTCTTATTTGATGTTCAACTATAACTGCTAGCTTTGCGCCGATGTTACACTGTCCAAACTCGCTCTCATTGACGAGATTCTCCATCTGTCGCATGAGGATTTCCATCTGCGCGCACACATGCATCACGAAAACAGCGGCGAGACCGCAAATCGCCACCGTGATCGTGTACATGACAAAACCGCAAAGAAGTTGCTGAAGAAACACGATCTCGTAGGCAGGACTGTTTTGCGGATCGAAGAAAACATAATAACCAGGGCAAGAGAAGGATCTAATCGTGGTATTCTCATCGATAACAATACTTCCTCTCGACAGCGGCACTATCGTATGGTAAGACAATCCACTGCCATACATAAACGTGCAGCACAAGATGAACAATCGTCTTCCATTACTGGCTTTGCTCAACATCACTTCTCGCGCATCATCGATGACTACTGTTCCCCAGTCTTCCTTAATGTGCCGCAAACAACTTCTAATATCGTATTCATGGATAAGTAAAGTACTGTATTTGGCGATCGCCATGACTGCGTACAGAATCGGTGGCATCATTTTTACTTTCTCACTCGGCTCATTGTCGACAACTGCGTAATAAAGAATACCCGGTACCATGTCGCAATGGAGGAGCAAATAACAGACAATTACGAGAAAAATATTTATGATCTTCTCGATCATGTTTGGCTGTTTGTCAATCGACGGCCAAATTCCGAGCATGCGAAGTACAACGTGACTTTGTTCGAAAACGTATTTTACGTCTGTCTCCTGATATTCATTGGGGATCATCCTGGCGGTATTATGCACGATATAACTTTTCTGATTAAAAACAGTTTTGATGGCGGCAAAATGACTGAAAATTCTACAATCGCGACGAAGAAAATGAATGTAGAAAATCGAAATGTTTTAAATTAATTGCTGGTGCTAAAAATTGAGGTATATACATATGTTCAGGTTCAGGTTTACGTAGGATTTAATGTTACTGATCACAACTTTCTGCATATCAGGTATGATGTAAACTCTCGGACGATTGCGCCTGCGTGTTTTAAAAATTAAGGAGTTGCTTGTAAGGGTTGCAAGACAGAAGAGTGAACAAAAAGAAGTTTAATAATTGATTTTGCACAATGTAGTTTCTCAAAGCGTTCATGTGATACTGGTAGTACGTATACGGTGGAAACTTTGACTATGTAACTTGAACCACGAGAACGTTTATTTTTTAAAGTAGCAAAGGACTTGGTCTTCGTCGAGCAACATAGTAAATAAAACTTTTATCCGATCTTCGTCGGCCAAGTCAACGCTTCCATTATGCAAATAATACTTCGATTTTTGGAACACAATACTACTGTGAGCCTATACTCCGTTATCTTACTTATATTTTGC